CTCCCTGATGGGTGGATCTGGCAGAGGAATCTCAACATTACTCACATCCAAGTAACTGCTGGTGGATCAACCTGATACAACTTTTCAAAATACTCAGCCCAACGTACACACACCCCATCAGGATCTGATATTATCTGGTCACTTGCTGAGCGGACTGCAGTCGTCTGTGAGGAGCGCTTGGAGTTCAGCTTTCTCAGGGCTTGGTAGGCAGGACGAAGGTCATTTACTAAGAAATGGTTTTCGACCTCCTCTGCAAGATTACTGATAAACTGTTCCGTATCCCTTCTCAACAGTGACCTAGTCCTGTGTACCAGAGAACGGTGCAAGATGCGATCCCCTGACAATCGAGCCATACGACAGGCATCTGTGGCTTCCAGTGTCTCCTGTGAGATGAATTCCTGAGCTGCATCAAGATAACTTCGGCATACCCCCGGGCACACTCGTCCTCCCTCAGTCTGTCCAGATGAAACACCCTAGGATGTTCATTTGGCCGACGGGGGTTTCTAAAGTGGACCCGGAGAGTAGCCACAACTAATCTATGATCAGTTCCACAGAACTCAGCGCTTTGATACAGCCAGAGATCCTCAATTTCTGGGACATAGCACAGTCACGGAAAAGGAGGCTATTCTCACTGCCAGCATCAGCTCCTGAGCCATGAGGACCGACAGACATCTTGTAGCCAGCTCGATCACAGCCAGATACCGCATTGAAGTCACCCAGAACAATACAAATATCTCGCTGTATATAAGAATGTATGTGTATGTGTATGTATTTATGCATGTATGTGTATGTGTGCATGTCTATGTATGTATGTACGTGTACATATACATGTGTATATGTACAAGCATGTACTGGTGTATACATATATGTGTGAGTGAACACTAATGTGTCCTCAAGTATACGTGCGCATACTCGTGTGCATAAGCATATGTACGGCTATATATATGTGTGTGTATGTATAGTCATAAGTACATGTACAAAATATATATGCATGTGTATGTATAAATGTGGGTGCATATACACATATGTATGCACATGTGATGTACGTATGTCTATATATGTGCATGCATGTGCACGTGTATAGATGCATATAATGTAGGAGTATATATGCATACCATGCATAGGAACAGATGTAAAGGTGTATGCTTGCATGTGAATGTGCACGAAAATGAACATATACGTATCACTTAGGGCATTTGCGGGTGAACAACTATGTCTGCACTAGGAGTACATACGCATAATTGAAATCAGTGTATAAAATATAATCCCACATATATGCACTACTAATACTTAAGCTCATGCTTCTGTAAACCCTGATGTAGTGAGCAGGCCCATGTGATGCTGCTCATAAGTCCACACTAGACAGGGGGAACCCTATTGGAGATGCTTATCAGTGGCATCCCGGTTAAACTACCCCCCCCACACACACACACCAAGATACACCTAAGCCAGTAGGTAGGGGATAACTCGGCTGCATATCTCTCAATCAAAAACCATGGATGCGCAGAAAAAGCTACGGCCTACATTCCAAAGGCGAAGGAGCTCCGGAGCAGAGGGTGCTAAAAATATCCGGTTAAAAACAGGCTGCCCCAGCTGTGGACATGGAAGTCGCTATCTAACAAAATTGGCTTCATAATTTCAAATAAGTGCAATATAGTAAAAATGTGAAAGTTAATAAAGTAAATGTTAGCAACGCCCATAGAATGGTCAGAGGTCAAATTAAATTACACCTCAGAAGTGAAAGGAACATACCCATACGAAAACCGCTGCCAAATTTAGCTAAATTGAAGACCAGAAATACAAAATTTAACCTTAATATCCAAAACAGATATTCACTTCTCAGTGACAAAGACCTCAACATTTACAAAATCAAGAAACAGTTCAATGACATAATAAAGGAAGCTGCACTTTAAGAACGTCAAGCAAAACACCTAGCAAGCTCTCGGTAAAAACTTAAGAGCTTATGTAAAAATGTAGGATCATGAAAATATCATCTAACAGGGACAAGATAGAATTAGCTGAATTAACAAAGACTATAAATAAAAAGAAGAGGGAAGAAGTACGGATGTTCAATACTCAAATGATAAATGAAGCAGTGATTTTTTTTAGTCACTCTAAGCAGGAGGTGCTTCTTTCGAGTTACTGCAGAGACCTGGCTGACACGGACACCTCTCGGCTCTCTCACTGAACCGCGGACTTCCCTCGTTCCCTGCTTGCTCATACAGCGCTTGTGTATTTAAGCTGCAGAATCCGGAACCGGGATCCTCTGCCACAGAAACCGCTTTGAAAGGTACAGTTCCTCTCCTTCCTCACTGTGGTGAAACAACCTTTAGGTGGCTGTTTCAGAGGGAAGAGGGAATCGCCTTGAAAAGGTACAGGACCTCTCGTTCCCCACTGAGGTGAAACAACCTTTGGGTGGTTGTTTCAAAGGGATGAAGCAACCGCCTGGAAAAGGTGCAAGACCTCCCTTCCCTCACTGAGGTGAAATAGCCTTTGGGTGGCTGTTTCAGAGGCAGGAGGTGAAACAACCTTTGGGTGGTTGTTTCAGAGGGATGAAGCAACCGCCTGGAAAAGGTGCAAGACCTCCCTTCCCTCACTGAGGTGAAATAGCCTTTGGGTGGCTGTTTCAGAGGGAAGAGGTGAAAAAACATTTGGGTGGTTGTTTCAGAGGGATGAAGGAACCGCCTGGAAAAGTTGCAAGACCTCCCTTCCCTCACTGAGGTGAAACAGCCATTAGGTGACTGTTTCAGAGGGATGAGCAAAGGGAGCAAACAACGATGTCTATCTTGTAGGTGGAAGGGCATCCTCTCTAGTCTCTCCCCAGGGGTTCATACCTACCCACGCATTTGCCGTGCATGGCAGCTTTGTGTGCTGTGGAAACAGGAATCCTGGAGGTTGAGCAATGCTGTGCAAGAGTACACCCTGTGGCTAGCAACATGTCTCTTTGGTCCCTTATTCTAGCAAGACAGGTGGTCTGATCCTGGCCCGGTCAGGTCAAATGGCTAGTCTCCGTTGGGAGGCTAGGGTCAAGTAGTCATGCCGCCGTTGGCACTCACACTGGTCTGTGAGTACCGTTACAACGGCAATTGACTGCGTATATCCTCTCACCACCCCTGTAGCTGTTAGACATTGGCTCTAACATTTAGCTTCCCCTTGTTGGACTCTGTGGGCGTGAGAGGATGAAGAAGCTATTCACTAGATGGAAAATCAAACCCAAAATCCCCCACAGAAAGAGATCAAAGTTAATGACCCATGCAATGCCCAAGGCAGTCACTTTAAAGCCATACGTGGCTTTAGCTGGCAAAAGAAAATCCAAGGCACAGGATGAATCTGTCACATTTGCTGCCAAAATGGACAAGACTGAGAAACATGTCACACACATGTCTGTCCATCAAATTGTACAGCAGATGGACTCTCTAGCTGGCCTCTCCAGTTCTGCAACCACGCCAAGGAGGCCTCTGAGTGCTCCTCAGATGTCCTCCCCGACCGAGATGGGAGCACAAGCAGAACCAGTCAAAACAGCTGCTACTCCCATGACTAAAGCCAAAAACCGAAAAGACGGACCAAAATGACCAAGGCCGGAGACAGACTCTGAGGGAGGCATTTCCCACAGTTCAAGGTTCCCTTTAAACCTGAAGGCTTCGACAATGCCTACCAACTGGTCGGAGCATTGGAGATGCAGAGAAAAATCTGGTTGTCGATTCGGGTTGCCAGAGACCAGGGCATGATTATTCTGCCCAAAGACCAAGCTACCCTGAATTTCCTGCAGGAAAAGAAAGAGCTCAAAGATGGGAGGAAAGTGTATCTCTCATCATTGAATACCGATGATAGGAGAGTCAAGATGGTGCTACTTGGCTACTCAGTCTCGTATCAAGTGAAACTGACCACATCACACCCTCAGGTTGTGGAGGCTTCCCGAACGTCGACAGGGAAAACTCCAACCAGTCAAATCCTGGTGCCCCTGAAAGGAGCCCCAACCACTACCCTTGATCCGGAAAACTGGGGCACCTGCAACTTAAGAACCTATGTAAGGCATACAAGGAAGAACAAAGAGGCACAACAGCCAAATGTCCCAACTGTGCCAAGAGGCATCATGCCTTGAGCCTGGCTTGCTCTATCAGGAAAGAGGCGGCCCTCAGGCGACAAGAGGTTGCTAAAAAGCGACCAGACTTTGTTCCTGCTCCCCAGGCAAACCAGGCTGAATCTGTGCAGCCAGTGCCAGAACATGCTGAGCTTACCCAGGTAAAGCCTGCAAAAAAAGACAAAGACAAAGACAAAGAGAAAGCCTGAAGTAAGAAAAGCCAAACTAACAAAAATCAGAACTACCAAAGGCTCTCCCCCCCCCCTCCGGTGGACAAAGGGATAGCCTGACAAACAGCCCAAAAACAGATGAAAATCCTCAATTAGTGAGGACTTTAAATTGGAGTTGTCAGACTCTGACACTTCTCAATCCGAATATAATGACGTCTCAGATATAACTAACACCAAGTAGCATCATGACATACAATCTAAGCATACTACAGTGGAACATCAATGGATTCTATTCACGGAATGCCATCCTCTACGCAATAAGGCGATCAAGAAACATTGACTTGTCATGCTCCAGGAAGTATAACAGTGGAAACTATTCACTTCTCAGGGTATCATGTCTTCATGCTGCTACATACAGCTGGCAAAAGAGGCTTGATCACCCAGGTCAGAGCAACAATCCCTTGCTCCGCAATAGCCAATGCACCAAACTGCAGAGACGATGTTGAATCTCTTGCTGTTGAAATTCACCTGGCCGGGTGGGCCTCTCAAACAGTACAATGTGTACAGCAGGCCACACTGTAAGAGCTTAGACATCAGCCAGGTCAATGTTACTGCAGCACATGACCAAGTGATCAGAGGGGGAGACTTCAATGTACACCACCCCAGCCTGGCTGGGATGGTGTACACCACGGCAGCTAAGAAAAAGATAATAAGTGCTGCCTGATGTATGTACTTTATGGTTCATTTTGTTAGTATCTGTATATAAAAAGAAATGTCCTCTATTTCCATGTAGAGGCGCATGCACCCAAATGAGAGACACTGGCAGAGAGGGATGGGTGGATGTGTTAAGAGAAAGAGAGAGAGAGGGGGAGGGAGGGAGAGGGAAAGAGAGAGAGAGAGGGAGGGAGGGAGGGTACAAGCAACACAGAAATAAACACATGAGACAAGGTCTTGGGTAAGCTCGGGGTGCAATGGGTCGCCCTCCTGCCCTAAAACCATAAGCCGGGGGCGGCCTATCTTGACGACCGCTAGGCACTGACTCTCTCTGACCCGGGTCATCCTCGAATATAAGTAGCGAGCGTCCACCGGAAAGCGGCGGGGGGGACGCCAGCTGCAAGAAGCGTGGGGGGGACGCCAGCTGCAAGAAGCATGGGGGGGAGCGTGGTGCGGTCACCCTGACAGCTGCTTAATGGCATGCCATAGAGGGAGAGGGAGAGAGAGAGAGTGAGTGAGATAAAGAGAGAGAGCAGGGTCACATTTTTACTTGGGGGTAGGGGCGGGCTTTGATCATAGCTTTAAAATGCTCCTAGAATAGTAATTTCTCACAAACAATTCTCGGAGAGCTGGTAGCGCCCCAGAAACTGCTTGTGCTTAGTTCGCTCGCCATGCTTACCAGTAAAAACTGAAAAGACGTCCCTGATAGATAGAGAGAGAGGGAAGGGAGAGAAAGGACGAGGCAGACAGGTAGAGAGAGGGAGAGAGGGACGTCATGAGGTGTTCATTTTCTTTATCATCGCCGTAAATTCTCATCCATGCATTCACGGCGATGATAAAGAAAATGAATACCTCATGACGTCATTCCCGGGTTGGTGGCGCTACTGGTAATATTTGAGTTAAAGCTGTAGCAGACGACGCATATTTCGGTAAAAAAATGCTTTAAAACTATATTAAAAAAAAAAAAAAAAAATTTTGCAACAAGTTGCTTTTGAAAAAGTAGTATCTCAGCAATGAAAAAATGCAAAGTTGTGCACAAGCTTGGTGGTTACCCTTTAATGACGTCATCATTCTAAGTCCAACGCATTGGAGTTTGTACTCTACCAAAGACGGCTTATCTGGACTACAGATATATAAAGAAATCAAGGGCCAGACCAATGACAAGATGACGTGACGAAATAACGAAATTTGAGGGCCAAGACTGGAAAAGAAATGTGTGTTTTGTGTCACGTATAGCAGTTACATGGGACTTGCCTTCCTTAATAGCTTTGTGGCGACGATACATGTTGACAGCGATGCCGATAACGAGGATATTGAGCGCGGCGAGGGCAACCAGGAAGGGAACGTAGGACCTGCCCACGGCTTGATAGGTGTGTGGTCACACGAGGGAAGGAAAACAATAAGAATTTCAACGCATGTCTTTTTTTGTTTAAAGTCATTAGCATATATTGCACATGTCATTGTGATTGTGTCGTGTTTTTGTTATTTCATCATTAACCTGGCTGTCTTATATAATAACTAGAAAAACACTCAGAGAGTGCAGACCTCCGCCAAGGTGCGTATATAATGTACTTACACCGCTGCTGCGTCCAGACGGTAATTCGGAATGTCAGTGAAATGTGGTACACGTTTACCGTAGATTTGTGTACTTTATTGATTGATTTATGATAATAATAATAATAACCAGACGGTAATTCGGAATGTCACCAAACGCCGTCAAAAACATAACCTCCTTGGCGGAGGTAATAACAACAACAATAATAATACTGCTAGTACTACTAACAATATTAATAATCATAATAATAATAAAACAATAATGATAATTGTGATAATGATAATAACAATGACATTAATAATGATAATAATGATGATGACACTACTACTACTACTACTATTAGCAATAACAATAATGATCATACTGTTAATGAAATTAATAATAAAAACAGTAACAACGATAATATCTCTTATTATTATCATTATCATTATTATAATCATTATATTGCTATTATTGTTGCTGTTATCATTATTTTCATTATTATTACCATTGTCATTGTAAATGTTATCATTATTGTTATTATCATTATTGCTATCATTATTTTTATCATTGTTATTATCATTATTATACTTACTATTATCATCATTACTCGTTATTACTATTCTATTCGTGTTATTGTTATTATTATCATTATCATTATCCTCATTAGAATTATTAGCATTATTAGTAGTAACGGTTTATTATTATTATCATTACTATTATTTCTTCTACCATTACTATTACTACTATTATTATCATCATTATTATCATTTTTGTTATTATTATCATCATCACCATTATTATCATCATTATTGATGATATTATTATCACTTTCGTTATCACCACTAGTATGTTCATACATTCATTAATATCATCATTATTATTAATATTATTATCATGGTTAGTACTATTATTATGGTTAGTACTATTATTATCATTATCACAATTATCAATATCAATATTAACTTATCTTATCTTATAATAGCAATGTTATTATTATG